AAGTGTGGATGGTAGTTCCATGATACTGGCTGAGTTTGCAATAGCAGGTGGAACCCTAACTATTGAGGGAGTTTGCAGATACCTCAGGATTCGTGACAATGCCTTTAAAGATCCAGGAGAGATGTTCAGCTACTAGGAACTGCTAGCAAGCATAGCGCGAATGGCTCCGAGCTCAGACACTCTGCAGCTGAGAGTAGACACTTGTGGTATGTGGAGTACAGATAAGCCAGGGGCAGGCCACGGCACGCTCCATGACAGCTAGGAGGGAGTGAAGTTTCAGTGACCATCGCAAGGAAGGAGGCAGACAAGAGTAAGGCACACCTGACTCTTAGGACTAGCAGTCAGAACCAGGAGAAAAGGTTTTATTGCTATGCTGGTAGGTAAGAACAGATTTTACTTCCATCCATATAGTTAAAATCCAGTTTTCTATTAACATTTTCCTTAATCTATTGAGCCAAAACTAGTCCAGTTAAGCTGAACTTGGTTTTTCTGGAGATGGATTGCTTTAAATTGACACCCTATTCTGGGTGACTCCTAATTGAAGGAAGCGAGCACATTAATTACATTATTTCTACTGTGATTTTGCCCTTTAATTTTATTTACCTTCCTTTGACCCATTTCCTTAAAACAATGGCTCAAAGTAATGCATTAGAATCTCTTCCCCAAATGGTGGGAGGGTGGGTGGACATTATTGGGAGGTGGGGGGTTTAGCTTGAGATGGGACTTGGTCTTAGAAAAGAGTTACTTCTAAAGGTTCTTTACTTTTCTAGGGAGGAGTCTGCCACTAGAGTCTTACCAACTCAAAAAAACCAGAAACTCATCTGTCCAAGTTAATGACAAAAAGGTAAGTGTTTGTAAAATAATGGTCAGCAAGAATGCTCTACTCCCAAAGTGAAGGGCAAGAATGACCAGGTGCATTGGCTCATGCCAGTTATCCCAACATTTTTGGGTGGGAGGGCTAGATGGGCGGATCACTTACTTGAGGCTAGGAGTTCAAGACCAGCCTGGGCAACATAGCAAGACCTTGTCACTACAAAAAAAATTAAAACTTGGCCACGTATGATTGTGTGCACCTGAAGTCCCAGCTACCCAGAAGAATCACCTGAGCCTAGGGTGGTAATCAGGCCACTGCACTTCAGTTTCGGCAACAGAGAGAGACTCCCAACTAAAGAAAGGGGAGAGCAAAAAGCTGTGTCTGAAACCAAATCGCTAAGGTCTCATCTAGTAGCAAAAATAGTCAACAAAGCAACCAGGTGTTCCCAGTAGTGAGAATGGTATAATTGTGGAGTCTTCCCCCTTGTATAAACACTTAATACTCTTTTTTGCCTTTTGCAGGAACATTCTTGTGAGGACAGCCTTTATCTGAGCCACTGTACTTCATTCTCACTGCCATGCAGTTGACATGAGCTGCATAGCAGCTCTAATTCCATTTTGTGAATGGGTTTTTTAATAAACGGTATCTATCTTAGTTTTGCTTACTTGTCTTCATTTGTGGCAAATAACATGATGCAACACATGCTTGACCATTTCAGACTTGGGGGTGGGAAATGCAGGTATTAGTGATATGCCAATTGTCAGGTAAACTAGTATTTTTGACAAAGCCTCCCTTTTTTTTTCTATTTCTTTTCTTTGGGTTGGAGTCTCACTCTGTCGCCCAGACTGGAGTGCAGTGGCCGC